TTAATTAATTATTTAGCAAATAAAAAAATTAAAAATTAAATGAATACATTTATAATTACAAATAAATATATATCACATATGGCATATATGTGTTTAAGCAGTTAAATAAATTAGATTCAGTTTTATTAAGTTTGTATAATATTTTAGATAAGCCCATGAAAACGATATTATTTGCAACATATTGATATATTTTTGAATATATATTTTAATTTTATTATAAATGACCCAGGATTTCAATTTACTCATAATTATATCATATTTATATAAATACCTCTGCAGCTAAATGAACTGACTCGATCTTTTATATTCGTATCAAATGAAAGAGAATCCATTTTAAGTGTGGCTGTGCATATACATACTTACATATGTAAACGCACTCTAGATACAAATTATTTTGTAGTAGCGCGGCAAAACTTTTAACAATTTGACATTACTCTTCCCACAGCTGTAAGGAAATAGTATTCCTCTGTGAACAACTGTATGCCATACAAATACGAGTGTATATGTGAGCGCTGAGAGTAGAGAGTATTAAAGTATCAGAGAGAAGGAGAAGTCTTTCGACTTTGTGGAGATATTACAGGCTAGAAAGGAACGTTAGCAAATATAAAGCGCAGCTATATTTATTATATATATATATATATATATATATATATATATATATATATATATAGATGATAAGCAAAAATACTAGAATACATATTCTGTTCACATTTTGCGAAATAGAGTATCTACTAGTCAGTCATTTCCAGCGTAGGCAGAAATCTTTTCACTTAACTTTGCTCGTTTGTTCACAAAATTCTGCAGAAATCGAGGACACAAAACAGAAATTAATTCTAGCTTAATTAAAATTTAATTATATCATATTCTAGACTAATTTCTTGAAATCACACGAATATTTCGTCACATTATAATTTTATTTTTTTTTGCAAATGAAGGTTTTTCTTCGTGCGAATTTTGATTGATTGATTGATTGTGGCACTTCTCAGTTGAGCGCCACCTTTTCGCTGTACTGAGGCGGTGGAGTCGATGGATAAGATTGTTGCCAATTGTTGGGCTGTTGATGTTGTTGCTGTTGTTGTGGTTGTTGTCGCTGTTGTTGTTGCTGTTGTTGTGGGGAGTAGGCCGGTGGTGCTTGGCGCTGCGCTGGTTGGGGCATGGCACCATACTGAGTGGTCCGCGAGACCACAACGGGCGCTGTCCGCATCGTGGTCACGCACTGGTTGACGCCCACGACACCTGTCGCAGGTACGACTATCACATTGCCGTTCCTCATGCGCCGACACTGCTCGCACGGACCCCACAGCCAGCCAAACATGGCGCCCAGCAGTCCGCGCCGATGATAGCAATCGCAGCCCACAATTGTGATCTGCTGCACCTGAGCCATGTTGCGCCTTGAGTCGATTTCACCTGTGCTTCGCGATTCGAACTGAATGCCAAATGCGACTCAAGTCTCTTATTTATAGACCCCGCCGAGCCAATGTGTCTTATCAGCTATCATTAAGCTCTTATGTCTGATAGCACTAGATATTCACAGTGATTCATATTCATATTCAAGTTAAGATAACGCGAGTCGCACGCAGATCTACGGGCTCTGAGGGGGTTTTTACTTATATGCGTTATTTAATGAACGTGCAAAGATTTGTAGTCACAAATAGTTTACAATATTCATGTGAAATCATTATTACTAGTTTTTGTATATATTTATAATTTATTTAAATAATGAATATTAATATCATATTTATTTATCTTAGTATTTCACAGGGATTTTTTGTTACGTGCCTTAGATATTGAAAGCCAAATATTTATGGTCACAAATGGTTGACAATAGTTACGTGAAATTATTTATTTATATATTTATTTTTATTTATTTATTATTTATTTTATTTATTTTATTTATTATAATTAATATTAAATTAAGTCGGTTTATTTCTTATATATTTACAATTTAATTTAAGTCTTTATTGTTTATTTTTTATTTATTTATTATAATTAATATTGAAAAAAAAAAAAAAAAAAAAAAAAAAGAAATTAAATTTTTTGGCAGAATCATACAATATCCAAACAATATTCTTCTTTTGTAAGACTTTAGGATTTCCTACTACTATTCAGAAATCTTCAACTTTTCATCAAACACATGTATGCCAGATGAGACGATGGGATGCCTTATAAAAGAAGAATATTCCTAAATATATATTTAAACTTTAAATTTTCGATTTTTTGACAGACAGTCGGGCATGGTTATATAGACTCACCTTGATTTGATTCATCAAACACACATCCTTCTGCTTTTAGTCGAGCTTTGTGTATATAAAAACATAAAACAATAACTTGAACTTATATAAACAATATTACTTTTATTCTTACAAAATAACTTAAGATTAGCAATCAAATTTCTTTATATGAGAGATATGCAGAGACTTCTGCAAACAACCAAGAGTGCATCGAGGCAAAGCTCCTTCAGTTGACTATCACGAAATCGTTGCACTTGGCTGGCAAGACGGAGGGAAATGCCTGCTGCGAGTTCTGCCAGTCGAGGGCCGTTTGAGCTGGAGTCACAGTCGCCAGTTGCGGTGGTGCTGCAACCACTTGTGGGCTGGTGGTGGTCACCACGACGGGAGATCCTCGCCTTCGTCCATTCAGTGTGACAGCCGCTGGACCCGAGGTGGGCACCACGACGAGATTGCGCTCCATCGAGCGCTGGCAGCGACGGCAGGGACGACCCCAGGCCCAAGGTCGCACCACATAGAGCAGTCCGCGACGATGATGGCACTCGCACTGAATATTAACCTGTTGCACCGCCGTCATCTTGCTCGAGTGTCTGTTAGTTAACTGATGTCTAGCTGCCTCAAGCTGCTTGCATTTATAGTGTGAATGGATTTTTGAGTGTTATCATCGCTATCAGATATCTCTATTATCGTAATCTCTCACTTTTGTTATCAATAGTTTGCAATTTGCTGTGATTCATGGCGTATCGGTGATTGGAGGTCGTGTGGCGCCTAATGATTCAGCGTGGGGGCCACGGCTAGACCTCTGCGCCCTTGAGAACTCAGCGCAGCGAGTGGAAGGCGTTTGCACACTCCACACACGTTTCGTAATGAGTACTTAAGCACTTGTCAGAGCGAGATAGCGAGAGAAGATAAGGGTCTTTCTGCAGGCGTTGTCTGATTACTCGAATATCTCAATTGCTTGCATATTTGAAGACAATCGAACCAGGTAATAACTGTTGTGGTCTATGTTGACAAGTTTGAGTGAAAATATATTAAAGGATTATTTTTATATATAAGACAGAAGTGGGCAGGTCACATAACAGTAGTTATGTATATATTCTTGCTGATGGAAAATGACGGCGAAGTCTTCGCCTATCCGCCCATTTCACTGTTCGTCCGTTCGTCATTCCGTATGAATGAATGCAACGATGTGATTTCTATCGTAGACGAACTTTCAGTATCAGTATTTCATAGTCAGCTATAGATTTCTTACTAGTTTGAAGCTAATTATTATAGCAGATGGCCAATATTATGAGTGAAGCTGATAAATTGATTACGAATTAATAACATAACTGCGGTCAATAGTGCCCATTTTCTTTCTCTCTATCTTTCTTGTTCACTCTCTTCTCCATATGTTGTCAGAACGTGAATAGGCATAGGCCCTTATAAAGATCAGTCACTGTTGATCATATTCATAGATAATATAGTAGTTCTCATATAGGGGCTTGTCAAATAATAAAGGGCTTCATCGTGTACGAGTTGCGCCTCTTGAGATGTTCCTTAGATTGAGCAAAAACTCTATATCCACACCTTCTATGAGTCTGACGTGGCTATTCAAGATTACTATAGATAAACCCTACATAAAGATCAATAATATTAAATATCTTAATAGGGAATTAAAAATGAAGGTATTTCAGACTTTTTGATTTTGTTGAAAATTTGAGGAAAAGCTATATATATATATAAATATCATATTTATGGCCAATATCATCAAGTCATCACAGTTGATTGCAGCTAGATCAGTATATAGTAAAGTCCATCCATTCAATGCAATAATCGATATAGATATACTGGCGAAAACTGAGTAAAAACACTAAATTTCCATTTGAAAGAAAAGTTTATTAAGTTTTCCAATTCAGATGAAATATTTTTGTTAACTTTGTATATATAATTCAATATTCCAGTATTGCTTCACTTCCTTGACTCAGCTAATAACCAATGTTTCATTATATGCGGGTGACAATGTTTGCTGTGTGGTGACCACCTGCTGCACCTGTTGCACTTGCTGCACCTGTAGCCCTGGTACCGTCTGTGTCGTCGTTGTGGAGACCACAACAGGGGATGATCGATTCGTGAGGGCGGGAGTCACTGAGACGGCAGCTGCACCCTGGGTGGGCACGACGACCACATTGCGCTCCATCATGCGCTGGCAGCGACGACACGGACGACCCCAAGCCCAGGGCTTGAGCAGAAAGAGCGGTCCATGATGGTGGGGGCACTCGCACTGTATGTTCACCTGCTGTACCTCTGCCATATTGCTCGCTTGCCGTTCGTTTCGGTACTGAATTCAAAACAGTTTCGGCTCTTGAATTTATAACACAAAGATAATTTATCGATGGCTCCTTATCAGTTCATATTCTAATCCTGTTGAATATCTTATCAGGGAAGTGCCTTCATGATGGATCTAGCCACCATCGGCTGTGATTCATATGCTTTACTGGGGTCAGCCTTGCTGCGGTTTCTGTGACTCATGGGGATCTTACGGGCATAGCCCGAGTAGCATCTATCATGCTCAACTCCGATTGATATTCAGTCATAAAAGATTCTTTAAGCTAATCAGATTTCGATCACTTACATGAATTGGTAGTCAATAGCTGTTATCAAAGACTTTATACCTTAAGGTCCTATTGATACTCATTTTACTATCTAAGTTATGCACGGTTATAGTTCGGAGCTATGTATATAAACAAAGGGTTTTACATACTAAAGCCTGTTTTCTGATTGCTGGCCCAATCAAGTTAGTTTTGCGTAAGATCAAGTCTTGTCATATTCCAATAATACATCAAAGCTTCACAGACTCACACAACATTAAAACAACATAGCGTACATAGCCAAAAATATGGTAAGAGTTGAACTAATTTTTCACAAGCAATTCTTTAATAAATATTATCTACATAGAATTCAAGCGTCGAGATTATTGCTGAGTTCAATTTCCGTGAAAGGCATTTCGCTTCAGGTATATCTAAAGTAATATGAATATACATTTCAAATATGTAAAAAACATTTCTTAACAGAGGAAGCCAAATGGAAATACATTTTGGAAATGGCCGAACGTAGAGATAGAAGGAAGACTTGGAATAGACTGAATCGGATTCGTCGAGCTCGAATTCTTCAAAATCTCATCATTTTCGTTCCGATTTGTAGCTTGATAGCGGATCACCTATTTAAGTATATAGATGGTCCGGAATCAAATTCAGTTTAAGAAGACTTTCATGTTTCTCTGTTCAGACACTAAACATTAAAATACTTGAAGTTAAAATTAAGAAAAGAATATATAACAATAATATAAAAATTGTCTGTATTTCTTTAATTTTTGCTATTATCACTTACAGATTAAAAATAACTTTCAAGAAAGTGTATTTTGTAGAGTAGTAGCAGTAGTAGTGAGCAATACGAAGAGTGTGAAGAAAAGATGAGCACAGCGGAAAACGAGTCGAACTCCCAAATGCTCGGAGTATTTATAATTGAACGAAAGAAAAGAGAATACAAAGAATCTCTGTAGCTGTATGTTATTCCATGGAGCATCAACTCCGCTATGACTGTAGCTGTAGCCAGCCAATCAAACGTTGCTTGCTCGCAAGAAAAACGCGAGATTCATCGTACATAGAAGATCGTGTGTGCCAAGCGATTTGAGTGTGAGAGAAAGCGAGTGCTTAATAAGCCAGCCAATCACACGACTGCTCGTAGTGTGCGCGTGTGTGTGAGAGAGAGCAGAGGCCTATGCTCAGCTACAGCTGCTCAGAGCACAGCTTATCAATTGCGTGAGAAGAGTGCGAGCAATGTGGGTATGAGCAGAGCAGAAAATGAGACTCAGTTCAAGCTCTGCACGATTGAAAGAAGAAGAACTGAAATCAAGAGACGAACTCACGCAAGTTGAGCTAGCTGCGGAAGCAGAGCAGACTGAGTAACAATTCTTCAAGCATTGTGCTCACGATTGAAAGAAGAAGACAAATGATCACTGCAAGGGACTGCTTATTGGAGCTAGGCTGCACTTGACGCAGTGAATTGGCGGTGGGAAGTTGGTGTAGGAGAAATGGGTTTTCTCGTATGTGTTAGTTCGTTCGTATATACATATGTATGTATGTCTATTAGTAAGTAATAAGAAGCATTGTCTATGACAAATGCAGTTGCAAAATTAGGTTTTTTGTATGAACAATGCATTATTATTATGAAAGGTAGAACACAAGCAAAAATGAATAAAAGTTAATACAAATAATTTATCTTGTATATATATATATACATATCATATATCTTTTAAAAGCTAATAATATATTTTTTAAAACAACGTCTATAAATAATTTTATCAGCCGAATTAAATTTACCAAAAGTTTTCTTTTGATGCTAGGTGTTAGTATGAAATGCTATATAAGAATTATAGGGAATATGCCTAACGCTCCAGCTAAAATTTTATTTAATTAATTCACTAATTATCCAGGCGCATACACCCGAGCCAAAAGTATTGCTGCCATCAATGGCAGAATTTTAACCCAAAGCAAAACAAAAATTTGAGATAATTAAAATAAATAAATTTTCATAATGCCATTAAAGCAATTGTCGCATTAGTCAAAAGCTTTTAATAATATTAAATACATTTAGTCACAACTTTTACATAACTTTTTACATTTATGCGATTGACAAATAACAAATAGAAGCTTTCAGTTTTGTTTGGTTTTGTTAGTCATATAATTTCAATTAATAAAAAATAAATACGGTATTTTGTTGTTGTTCTACATTTGAATGCGAATTCAATGTGCGCTTGTTACCAACAGGGCCGCTGTTGCTCCACAATGACGACTTCCTCGCGTGGACGACGCCCGCCGATGTTGAACTCGATGAGTGGTCGACTGGGTCGCACCACATCCACCTCAACCATGGGTGGTTGTTGGTAGACAGCCGCTGGTTGGATCACCTCAACACATTCCGGTCTGTAGGAGGGATAGCGCGAGCCGACATCGATCTCAACAACGGGGCGTGGCAGACGTGGTGGCACAATATCCACCTCCACAATGGGACGTCCATGATGATGGTGGTGGTGATGGCGGCGCTCGTCGTCGTAGTAAGACATGATTCCTTAGTTAAATATCTCTCTGAATATCCTTGGGTCCCGTTGTAGCGCCTGCTCTGGCGATTCTTCGTTAACTGAACTAGTTTCACAACTGCTCAACATATTTAAGCAGACAGTTCGCAGGTGGGTACTTTTTTTTTTTTTTTGTGTAATTGGGAGCTTAGTTCGCTATCTTGTCAGGTGGTCTTAGTCTGCTTTCGATAAACATTTGACAAAGCACTTCCAGTGCGGCCGCACAATGAACAGAAGCGAAAAATCCCAAATTACGAATTGCAACAAATTTTGCAAATTTAGATATGTGAATCAGAGTTTTTTTTTAATCAATTTTATTTTACAAATATATTCATTTATTTATTTTAAATATATTTATTATAATTAATTATATATTTTATATATTTTTTATTACTGTAGTTTATTATTTTCTAACTTTCCCATATTATCATATATCCTATGATTTCCATATCATCGATAAGGCCTACAAAAATTAAGCCTTTCAGAGTCTACAAAACAAAAGTAAAATTGTCAATAACAATATTTATACAATTAAATGGCGTGCAGGTTTAAAAACGGGTGCAAAACATGATAAGATATACGATAAACATTATATATAAATATGTATATACTCATTTGTCATTGCTAAAAATGAATAGCACAATTTTCTCTACTCTGAGTCAGGATCAGGGTATAATGCTTTGCAGAAGAAGGCGTGGCAGACATAATAAAGCTTGTTCAGGTTGAAGAGCTGAGGTGATCAGATGCAGATCAATTTGATTGCATTATCTCAAAGTACTCTCAGATCAGGTCTGATATCAATATCAAAATTTTTGATCTTGAAATGATTTCTAAATTATTATTTTATATACTGCGAATCAAGGTATATTATAGTGGAGACCCTTTGTTCATATATGTGTGACATAAACTACAATAAGCTCGATATGGAATTCGGGGTATTGATAGGTATGCTCTAGTCAAACCCATCTACTTGGTAAATTAAGCTAGATAATGAAATAATGAAATTTATTGCGTAGCTGCCGTTTTGTATTGTTGCTTGCATTCCCAACTCATTTAATGGCCAAAGGTCGTTAATAATATGTTTAGTATATAATATTTATAATATTCATATTTAGTAGTTATATAAACAAAACATAAACCTACGCTTGCATCAAATTATAGAAGAATTGTAGAAATTTTTTAACAATGTTTTTTCTCTAACGGATTACGTTTTGGGCCTAAAATTATGTTATATAAATTATAATAAAAGGTATCTTGTATTATTGGAATATTAGTGGTAGTATATTATATGCAACTTGAACTAACAAAGAATCATTTGAACTTAAAAAGTTCCACCTTAAAGCTTTTTATGCTCACCTAAACTCTAGCTTCTGTTTTCGTTATCTTCTACTATCTTCAAAAATATATTTAATTAAATTCTATTTAGACTTTAGACTTTAAGTATTTGAGTAAATAAAAAATGTTTAAAAATATATGTCTATAAAATACTTTATTTGCTATATTACATTTTTACCTAAATCTACTACGTTCTATAGATATATGTTCAGATTAGGCTTATACTACAATTCGTGGCTAACAAGTGGACTTTAACACTCTTTACACTATTATATCTGCTATTACAATCCTTATACAGTCTGACAATAAAAAACCGAAAATATCAATATTTGATTGTTTAATAATTGCAAATTATAGATTCATTTATTTTATATAGTGCGCACAAAGGGAGCGCGAATAAAGTAATTCACAGAGTTTTCGACACTTTTGGGATTCCGAATTGTGATTCGTCTACCACTGAGGATAGGGTGGATTATTGGTGTGGGAATATGGCTGTTGGTATTGATAGGTCTGCTGCTGCAGCTGCTGCTGCTGGTAGTAGCCCGCTGTGGCCACGGACATGCCGCCGCCATATGGCTGTGGCATCATCATCGGAGCACCAACTGGTGCTGGCGGTGGTGGGGGCATGTAGGCGGGTGCCTGATTGACTACGACGACCTCGGGCCTAGCAATCGGCGCCGGATAATATGCGCCACCCCAGCCGGAGATAACATCAATCTCGATATCTATTAAAAAGTTTATACAAATTATTATTACTGCTCTCCTCTCTCTCTCGTTGTACTAGTTCTGCTCATGCTCACTTGGGCGATGATGGCGATGATGATAGCCAAAGCGATATGAATCTTCATAGTACACCCGCATGGCTCCAGTGTTTGCGCCTGTGCTGCCTCGAGCAACACTTGTCCTCTACTGAATCTTATCGTTGGCCAGACAACTCTATTTCGCAGAGAACTTCCAGTGCAGTTGTGGCCCATCAATCAGTTCTGAGCTTATTTGGCATTTTCATTCCAGTTGGCAGATAAGAGCAAAACAATCGCGCACTGCTGTGGTTAGTCATTTTGCCTCGACTAGAAACGACTGATAGCATTTGTGGCCGATAAGTCGAGGGGGGTTTGTATCATAGACCCGTTTGTCTAGGGAAGTCAAGAAGTCTAGTACTTTCCCGTTTTATTAGCTATGTTTATATAATTATCTCATTAGCTTGCAAAAAGTAAAATTTGTGTTTATTGCTTCGACTTTGGAACTTGTTTGAAAGCTGATCCAAACTATTGTATATTTGATCTGTATTTCATTTTGTATCTACATAAAAGTTCTATGAGAATCAGAAGAAGAAGAAAATGTACAACATTTTATATATTTCATAATTCGGTAAAAAAACAAGTAAGAAAGCTCTAGTCGAGACTGCTCGACTACGAGATCCCCTGAACCCTTGGAGCAATAGATATTTCAATACTTTTTCGCGACTTTCAGCTTACACAAAGAAATACGCACACACACACACACACACACACACGCACGTACGCACACACAGGCATACATACACACACACGCATACAGACACACATACACACACACACGCATACATACACAAACGCATACACACACACATATACACACACACATACACACACAAGCAACCACGCATAAACACGCATGGGCGGCAGTGAGCGCTTACTATGAGAACTTAATTGCTTAATAACTTTTTTGTGGACGTACGATCTTCATGAAACTTTCAGATTATGATTATGACATGGATATGCATATAATTGCCAAAGCACAAGTCTTTAGTATTTGAAATAAGCTTTTTACAAAAGTGAGGGTGAGGGGGTGAATTTAAGGGTGGGGGGTAAATTTTAACAAAAACCGAAATTGTATAAATTGCATATAGGCATACCTAAAAAATTTTGAGACTCTAGCAATAAAGGTGTAGAAGATATAATTTTATAACTGGTTTTCGATAAGGTTTTTTATCGATAAAAAAAGATCGGGATGAGTTATCGATTTTTAATGATAAACTTGATATGCGCGCTGTAATTACGAACATTAAAAAAAAATTTTGAAGTCTCTAGCTCTTATATCTTCTGAAATCGACGCGTTCATACATACGGACAGACGGACAGACGGACAGACGGACGGACGGACAGACGGACAGACAGACGGACAGGGCCAAATCAACTCAGCTCGTCGCCCTGATCAAGAATATATATACTTTGTGGGGTCTGCCACGCCTCCTTCTGCCTGTTACATACATTTCAACAAAACCATTATACCCTGATTTCCCATTGAAAATGGGTTCAGGGTATAAAAAAAAAAGTGGATACAATATTTATTTTATACATTTAATTGTTTTATTTTTTTATACCCTGAACCCATTGAAAATGGGAAATCAGGGTATAATGGTTTTGTTAAAAGTATGTAACAGGCAGAAGGAGGCGTGGCAGACTCCACAAAGTATATATATTCTTGATCAGGGCGACGAGCTGAGTCGATTTGGCCCTGTCCGTCTGTCTGTCCGTCCGTCCGTCCGTATGTATGAACGCGTCGATCTCAGAAGATATAAGAACTAGAGACTTGAAATTTTCTTTCCTAGGTCCGTGTATATCACGCGCATATCAAGTTTTTCTTTATATATCGATAACTACTCCCGATATTTTATTATCGATCAACAACCTTATCGAAAGCTAGTTATTTAATTATATCTCCTACACCTTTAGAAAAATGCATGATGCATGAATTTGTTGATTATTATTAGTCATTTATATATATATAGGTATATATTTTATTATTAGTTTATATATATTGTCTACAAGCTCAAGGCTAACTGAAGGCTAGCTCATGGGCCTAAATAGTTTCCAAATATTATTATAAATTGAAAAGAAAGAATCAGAGCATTTATTTTTTGCCATGTTTCTTTCATACTCGTGAGACACCTCGCGTAACTTAAAGAGCAGCCCTCGTCATAGTTTCTGATTGGCTTTAGTACATAATATTTTGTCTCTAGCTAAACTACAACTAGCTAATTTGCCTGATCCATGCCTCAATAATCAATGTTTATGAAACACATCTGGCGCAGCTGGCATTAGGCTTATCGCATGGCCGTAGACGACATTGATAGAGACCAAATGCATAGATAACGGAATTGAACACATTTGCTGATAAGTTATATTAAATAAACGTATACATGTATACTTTATTTATTTTTTATTTATTTGGAGGTATATCGAATGTTCAGGTGTTTTCCTGTGTCTATGAAATATTTGTGTGCTGCGTAAATTCAAGGAAAATGTCCTTCGGCTTCGTCTAGTAGCTGGGAGGTGGATTGTGGTAGTGGTTGTCGGCGGGTGGGTAATAGGCTGGCGGTGGCGGTTGTGGCTGCTGCTGCTGGACCACAACCACATTGGTGGGTCTGGGTGGTGGTGGCGCCTGCTGCACCACAACGACGGGCGCTGGACGTGGTGGCGGTGGTGGCGCCTGCACCACCACAACGTTGTTATGATGGCGACGCGGCCAGCGTGGTGCGATCTGCACATTGATGATGGGTCCACGACGTGGTGGACCACCGCAACGATCACCGGGAGCCATTTTGTTTTTGATTGAAAAAGCGAAAACTTTCTAGATTTTTGTATTGATGGAACACACGTCTCAATGCGTTCGCTTAAATTAGTCAACTGAAATGAAAGCTAAAGCGTAGCTCGAATTTGGTAACGGTAGAGAAAGAAAAAAGCTTTTTTCGC